ATAAATAATAAATTAATATTCCAATGTATATGTTCATATACAGTGTACATATAACCTGCAATTTCCTATAGTGTCTCCCTATAGTGGACATTTAGTAATTTTTTGCAAATGTCCATTAAGTAGAGGTTTTCTCAATAGTGGACAACTCTCTATAATGAACAATTTTTAATTTCCCGTAGCTGTCCACTATATAGAGGTTTCACTGTATTGCCATTATATAAATGTAATTATGTAAACTATGTTATTGTTAATATATACTTATTGAAATGTATATATTTTGTTGAATGATATAATATGTTATAGTCATAAAAGMTCATAGGTACCTAGGTACCTACTTTTTGAATTAAAAAACTATTCAGGTACCTAATATGTACCCATATATAGCTATGGCTGTAGTAAATTTGCACCAAAATTGACCCAAAATATTTACAACATTTCACATRTATAATTTGCACCATTTTTTTTTTTAAATGCATTTGTAATTTGCACCAAAATTAAMATTGATTATTTTAACATTATTGCAATATATATTGCAACTGCCCAAATATATGGTGGAAATAATGAATTTTTGTCTATATAATTGTCAGCAAATATTTGAAATTTAATATCAGATGGTATTGTTGACATAAAGTCATCAACAAAACATGAGCCCACTTCATTGGGATTTAATAATATTAACCCAAACATATTATTCAACCATTCACCCATATAGCAAAGAAATATTGCATGAATATACCTTGAAGATTCATTTACATATATGTATATCTATTGTATGTCTTAAATAAGGCTGTACAAAAATTTTTAATATACATGAGATATCTGTAGCATGTCTTATGAACCAACTATACTCATTGCTTGGATGTTCAGAATGAAATATTCAACAGATATCAGATAAAAAATAAATATATGCTATTTTTCTAATATCAAGGAAATATTAAATGTATATTCAATGATTATTATTACTGATATTATATATCTAATTAATATACTTTTAATATCAMMAACATATCCATTAGATATCTGTCACATGTCTTATTAACCAATTATCCACATCTCTTGGATGTACAGAATGAAATATTTAAAAATATTAGATAAAAATAAATATATGATATTCTTCTTATATCAAACAAATATTAAATGTATATTCAATGATTATTGATTTTAATAAAATGAGATATCTATAATAGGAAGACAAAACTTGATTTTTCCTGATATACCTATGAACTAGAACAATTAAATTAAATTAAATTAAATCTTTTAAGTTAACATTTTCAAAAAAAACCAAACCTATAAAAATGGGTTCAATTTTTCAAAAATAATAAATTAGATACATTTTTTTTAAACTTTTTTACCAAACCATTAAAATTAAATTCAACTACAATATGAAACAATTGTAGACCTTTTAGACCGAATTACAATGATTACAAAATTATATATGACCTCAGTGCTGGCAGAACGAGTGTTGGAATTTCAGGAGTGCTATTGTTTATAAATAAAAATATAT